CCAGGACTAACTTTCTATTATACCTGGCTAACCTATTGTGTTTTCATGTGGGTATAGGAAGCAATTTGAAGGCAGCAACCAAGTCCTGTACTTTTTGCAGACACTGTTTTGTTGGAAAGAAGAGTTGGAAGGGCTTTAACATGTTAATGCTTTTCTTAAGGATTATGCTGACAATTTGTCATTTGACTGAAGCCTGTATAAGGAAAAAGAGACTATATAAGCAAGTTAAGCTGAAGAATGTTCAGTTTTAGAGTAAGCGGGGAGAGTATTTACTTTGAGCAGATAGAGACATTGGGCTTTCTTGCACTCTGAGTGGGGAATACTGGGATGAAGAAAATACATTATGGGCTAATAATAGGGATATTGCCATACAGATAGTATTTCCAGAGACATTTTAAAGCAAACACATTTCTTCCTGTTTTGGCTCTTTCGAGATAGATATGCAAGCATTTTTGTGTTTCTTTTTATTGAGTTGCCCTCTGTTGGTCAATGTGGGATGACTATAGTTGGAATTGAAAGTGCAGAGGGATCTCCTTCCTTAATTCCTGAGTGCCCTATGGAGGAGTAAGAGCCATCTGGATATCAGAAGAGGAATCTCTTAATGAGCTCCTTTTTGTTTTGCTCCAAAGACTTTTGAATTGATTGTTAAATTCACTTTAACTTAGAAGCTTGCCTTTGCTTTTATATGGTATAAACGGAGACAATTCCAGGGTCTCCGTGAGGGACATATGCACCATCAGCTGTTGCTCTGTATTTTGACTTGCCCCCCTCCGGCTCCCCACATCCACAGCCCTGCAAGTACCTGCTCTGGGCAACTGTGACCTATCCTTTTGTCCATAGAGCTTGATCTCGGGTGTTTCCAGGTGGCTTGGCCCTCCTCTGAGACAGACATCAATTGCAAAGATCAGAGTGGCCTGGCTTTTGAAGAGGTTTTTCACATTCTGCTCTGCAGACCTGTTGAGATGTGCTATTCCTTTCATGTTTCCATCCCATCTGTCTCTTGAAAGGGCAAAGGGAGTGTCTTCATGTGACTGAGGGCTATTGATGTTGGCTTCAAATTCATTTCAATTAATTTCTACATTTTTGTCATAGATATCAGCCATTGAATTCCCTTGATCTTGACATTGCTCTAGCAAGGCTGCCAGTGAGCAACAAGAAGAACAATTTCTGTACACTCTGTAAAGCAAGAACAAAGGAAAAGTTCTCATTCATTCTGGGGGTTATATTAAATGCCATTCTTAATTATTTCCTTTGTAGAAGATCGGATCCTGGATAATAGCGTATTACAGGATTGTATTCGGTATCTAGTTAAGCTTCTAGTGACACCTTGTCAAGCACCCATAATACATTTATTTACTACCGACTACCTCTGTATGCCAGACACTGGGGTTTCAATGACACCACTGCCAATTCTTACAACAAACTTACAAGATAGCTGTTCTCCTTGTATTATAGATGGAAAAAACAAAAAACAAAACGAAACAGCAACAACAAAACCTAAGGCTAAATTTTAGCCACATTTCCCCAAATTCCATAGCAGGCATATATTTGGGAGATGTGTTTGGCATCTGAGTCCAAAGTTTTCTCTTCGCATTATACTAGGGGTATATAAAGGAGCCAAATCTAGCCTGCCACATATATCTGTTTTATTAGAAGATGGCCACACCCAGTTATTGATATATTTTCCAGGGTTGCTTTTACACTATAGTGGCAGAGTTGAGTAGTTGCAGCAAAGACTAGATGGCCTACAAAGCAGAATATGTTTACTGTCTGGAGCTTTAAGAACAACACTGTTGACCCCTACACTATACTGTTCCTGAAGATGGCCCTGTTGTTGGCAAATGGGATGGTTTTTCTGGCGGCACATTGCAAGTCTAAAATCGGAAAGTCTATCATCTGTCTAACTCACCTTTTTTTTTCTCTTTATGTCATGTTGTCTTTTAAATATTTGTTGTTATGATTTTGTGGAGGGTAGTGGCTTTTACCTCTGAGTCTAAACGCCAGTTAGTAATAGTTTGATTTATTTGTTTAGAGATTTCCTGTCAGCAGTCTTGTAATAGATTGTTTGAGATTCTGAATGGTTTCAAGAAGCATACATACATTTTTCAGCAGATCTTTCTTTCTTGAGGGGAAAAGTCAGCCAAAGTGATTGTGCGGTGTGTAAGGAAGTTCTATTGCTTTCATTTTGAGAGAAGCAGCATCCCTGTGTTTTTGCCTGATGTTAATGTACTATTACACAGACAAACTCTAACCAAGGTGGGATTGAGGAAATATTAATATCAGTTTTATGCACCT